AGCAGAGAGTACAAGTTTTGAGGGAGAGGAGAGAGTCGTGCTCAAGTAAAAGTGTGATGTTGCCCCCAAATGTTGGTGGGGCTTACAATTTATAGTGGCTCCCTAACAGGTTGGGGCGACTTTGCAGCAATTAAACAATTATTTTGATGGAGTTCATGACTTTTTCTCAAAGGGCGAGGTGGTTAAGGTGCTCTCCACAAGACTTGGTCCGAGGTGAGGTGAGAGCTGACTATTTTCAAGACGATGAGGGTGTGGCTCCCGATGCTCTCTTGATGGTGTGGCGTAGCTTCCTGATAAAGCCTGACTCTAAGGTGGCTAGAATGAGCCTCCTTACTCCAAGGTGGCTATGATGAGCCTCTTTATTCCAATGTGATTGTGATGAGCCTTACTCCAAGGTGGTAGAGGAGCAAACTCTTGGATGACATTGCATGCTCCTCTACTGATGTAACTCGTGGAACGTAATGAACTTGATCGGGTGCAGACTTTTTTGGGCTTGGCTAGTTGGACCTCTTGGAGTTGGGTCCTTGGGCTTAGCTCATCATTTGCCTTCCAATGCCTTATGTCTAATGAAACTTGGAGAAAAGGGCATTCGGTTGAGTTTGAATTTTTGGTTGACTGGTGCAACTGAAAAAATTTTGAGAGGCCAAAACATCTATTTCTAGGCCTTTTTTGGAATATTTACAGCATCAATCACAATCAAAGGCTGTGCGTTTTGTAGGGCTTGCTAAGAACTTCGATTTGATATATAATAAGCCTCATTTTGAGTAACGGAGCAAAAGCTACAGTTAAACTTTCAAGTAGAGAACTCAATGAGCGATTTGGGCAAGTAGGCACTAATTTGGGCAAGCAGGGGGTGTCCTGGGCGAGTAGAATTTTTTTTTTTTTTTTTGAAAAACTTTGGGAGGCTAAAACAGTTGTTTCTGAACCTTTTTTGGATTTTTCACACTATCAATCACATGCCAAAGGTTGTGAATCTTGTAGGTCTTGTCGAGAGCTTCGATTTGATATATAATAAACTCCTGCTTGGAGTTATGAAACAAAATTTATGATCAAAATAACGAGCAGGCACACAATTTTAGGCGAGCAAGCTGGTTTGGGTGAGGCGAGTAAGGAACAGGATAGCCTTGGCAGCGACTTAGACGCCAATCTAGGCTGCTTGGGCGCCGAAGATGCTGTCCTGGACAGCTTAAGCGCGCTGGATAGCAATCATATTTCAGTTGGAGGTGCAAGAACTCAGGCCAAGGAGTAGCGGGGAGATCTAGGTGAGCTAGGCAGTAGCCTGGCGCCAACCTGGGCTGCCTAGGTGCCGAAGACGCAGCAAGCATTATTTTGTGTAACTTTGAAGGGCCAGGCAGCACTGGGCTGCCCCGTTTGGGTGAGCAAAAAGCGTCAGGCACCTCTTTAAGTGCTGGGCTGCCTCGTTTGGGCGAGCAAAAAACGTCAAACACCTCTTCAGGCATTAGGCTACCTCGTTTGGTCGTGCAGAGAGCATCAAGCACTCTCCAAGTACTGGGCTGCCTCATTTGAGCGAGCACATAGGATCATATATCTCTCTAGGTGTTGGGCTGCCTCGTTTGGGCAAGCATATAGGATTAAGCGCCTCTCTAGGTGCTGAGCTGCCTCGTTTGGGCAAGCACATAGGATTAGGCACCTCTCCAGGTGCTGGGTGCCTGGAAGGTCTGGGCTCTTGTGTTGGGCGTCTGGGAGGTGTTGGGCGTTAGTACCCAGGAGTAGATGTCAGATGGATGAGACCCGATTGTTGACATTCAATCTAATGTAGTCCTACGGGTTATAGAGCACCTAAATTTCAAAAGCGTGCCCTACAAAAATAACGTTATTCCAACATCAAAAAATATATAACATGATTACCTGGAGAGAGAGGCAAGCTATTTGCATGAGAGCAAAGATAGAGTTTGAAGACTGAGCTTTCGACGACCCATGAGAGAGCCCCGAAGCTGGAGGTATGGGCTGCCTGCTTGAGAGTAGTGCAGAGGCCAAGTTTTTGGTAATCCATGAGAGAGCTATTTAGTTGGAGATATACATTGTCTGCTTGGGAGCTGTGCAGAGGCCAAACTTTTTTGGCGACCCATGAAAGAGCTGCTAAGCTGGAGATATGCTCCCTGTTTGAGAACAGTGCAGAGGCCAAGCTTTTTTGGCGACCCGCGAGAGAACCGCTAAGATAAAGATAGGCTACCTGTTTGAGAACATAGCAAAGACAAGTCAAGCTTTTAGTAATCCACGAGATGATTCACCTCGCCGAGACTTGTTAATTTCTTCATCATTCATATATTTTTGAATTTTTTCCAATAGTTCTACCATGTTCTTTGGTGGTCGCTTCATTACTGGAAAGAAGAAACTTGACGAGCAGAGGCCTCCTAAGAAGGCGGTCATAGTTACTTTGTTATTGGGCTCCTCAACTTGGAAGACCTCCTCGTTAAAACGAGTGAGGTAGCTCCTTAGGCTCTCCTCGGTCCTGCTTTATGCTGAGCAAGTGGGTGGCAGACTTTTGCTGGCGGCATCCACCAATGAACTATGCCACAAATGATCTGCTCAGTTCGGCGAAGGAGCTTTATAGAGGCTGAGGAGAGCTTGGCGAACTATTGTCAGGTGGATCCCTTCAAGGTGATTGGGAACACCCTACACATGACCTCGTCTAGGACGTTGTGCAGCTGCATCAGAGTTTATAGGTTTCGAGATAGTCTAGTGGATCATTCGTTCGGTCAAAGGTCTCTACGGATGACATTTTGAACTTTTGAGGGAACAAGTAGTTCGCCATGTCAAGTTTGAAAGACGTGTTAGTTCACCTAACGAGGTAGTCCATCGTCTCAGGTCCTTAAGCCTTCATGGCATTGAAGACGTCACCTAGTTGATTTTGCACCTCTTTTATTTTTTCATCCCAGTGGTTAGGGGCTCTTCTGGAATGATTATGGAAACAACTCGCATACTCCATGCATGGGTTTTTACCCTTCTTCTTTTGGAAATAAGGGTCTTCACCATGGGAAGTAGGAGGAGGAGGTGGATCATGATGGGCGCCCCACATAGGGACTCCAAAGGGAGCGCCCCAGATCTGAATGGGCTCCTAGATGGGGAGCAACAAGGTGTGGAGCTCCTTGAGGTCCTCCGGGCTGTGCTCCTCCTTGTCCGGTGAGCATGAGTTGTAGGATCTGTTGGTTTTGGGCTACCAGCTGCTGCATGGTCTCCAACATTTGCTGAGGATTTAAAATTACAGTATTTGGGACAGAGTTGGTAGGTAAAGGAACAACCTCCTCCTCTCGTGGAGGGTTGTTCTCAAATTGATTTATCGATCTGGTGGTGATCGCCATTAGTTTAACAAAGAGAATGATTAGAAGTGAGAATTTGGTCTTTCCCACAGACGGCGCCAAACTGATGATGCACAAAATGACTCAACACACTACCTGTCAAGTGATTGAAAATAAATGCAATAATTAAAGTAAAGAGATGAAGAGACAAGATTTATAGCGGTTCGGTCAACGTGACCTACGTCCACTCTTAAATGGCTTTGGTCGTCAGGTGCTTTATTAATTCAAGGGTGTTGAGAGCAGAGAGTACAAGCTTTAAGGGAGAGGAGAGAGTCGTGCTCAGGTAAAAGTGTGATGTTGCCCCCCAAATATTGGTGGAGCTTACAATTTATAGTGGCCCTCTAACAGGTTGGGGAGACTTTGCAGCAACTAAACAACTATTTTGGTGGAGCTTACGACTTCTTCTCAACAGACGAGGTGGTTGAGGTGCTCTCCACAATACTCGGTCCGAGGTGAGGTGAAAGCTGACTATTTTCAAGACGGTGAGGTGTGGCTCCCGATGCTCTCTTGATGACGTGGTGTAGCTTCCTAATGAGCCTGACTCCAAGGTGGCTAAGATAAGCCTCCTTACTCCAAGGTGGTTATGATGAGCTTCCTTACTCCAATGTGGCTTTGATGAACCTTACTCCAAAGTGGTAGAGGAGGAGGCTCTTGGATGACCTTGCATACTCCTCTATTGATGTAACTCATGGAACGTGATGAATTTGACCGGGTGCAGACTCCTTTGGACTTGGCTAGTTGCACCTCTTAGAGTTGGGTCTTTGGGCTTGACCCATCAAGGTTCACCTTTCTTATTTGAAGTTTTATTGTTGATTGGTGATACAATATTATCAATGGTGATATGATATTATCGTTACATTCAATATTTACTCCATAACCAGGCCATAGTGGAGCTGTAGAGCCACCTTATCATCAGGGCCACATTTGGATGATTATTTTGGGTGAGTGGGAGTGTTTAGAAACCTCCTTTAAACCCAACCCAAGTATTTTTATTTGCGATTCAAATATAAACTCAATCTAATTTAGTGTTTTGTAAGCAAGATAAATAAAATTATGACTGACGAATTTATCATAATTACTATAAAAAAAATTGTCATGTATTTGTTCTGTTTGTCAAGATAAATAAAATTATGATTGACAAGTTTGTTCTGTTTTTTTTTTTTCAATTCAACCGTCAGAGATGTTTATGCCAATTTACGTATACCTAAATTAATTTTCTCTTTGGTCCGGTCAGAGGTAGGTCATCCACGCTAAAAATAAAGTATTCACGATGGATAAATTACTCATGATCTAGATATTCATAATAAATAAACTACTCATTAATTAGAATATTTCTAATGGATAAATTACCCACAAGATTCCAACTCGGGACACAGTTCCCTTTGTTAAAAGAAGCAAAGGTTGGTAAATTAGATGGGTGTTGATAATCTAATCTGCTTTACTTAATGATCAGTTGGCTTTTACTAAAGTTTTGATCAACGGTCATCATATTTTATCCGGGTTGGTAATCTAATCTCAACCATTTGACTTACTCCATTGACATAGTCTTTGTTGCCTTTGCACCTAAAAGACTGTCTTAATCACAAATAATGTATATAATTTCACTTGTAGAGAGAGAGAGAGAGAGAGAGAGAGAGAGTAGTTGACGGGTAAAAGGGCGCCTAACAGTTTTGGCGTCTGCTTCTCCTGGTCCTTTTTGAAGCGGGCAACCAACGACCTTCTCCTCCTACTACTTCTTCTTGTTCTCATTATGGTATGCGTTAAAGTAACACAGAATAACTGTTTTCTCTTATACATGTCAGAAATATACTCATAAATAAATAGTCAAAACTCTTCAGCTTATTAATTCTTCTCTCTTTTTTTCTCCTCGGAAAGCCGCCATAACTCCAAACTCTTCCAAGTCTTTGTTCTTCACGCCCTCTTTTGCCTCTGAGAGGCTCTACCGTGCTGTTCTTTATTTAAAGGTCCAAATATTTGTTTTGTATCTTCAAGCTTTAGTGTTGTCAAGAAACGGTTTATCCTTATTTGTATCTTGCAAATAATTTATTGCTTTGGGCTTCTCTGTCTTCTGTTTTTTTTAATTGTTCCAATCCTCAATTTAACAAGGTACAAGCTATACAAGTTTCTGATTGAGCATTAATGACTGATAGTACGATGCTAGAGCATATGTTGACCCGTTATATCTGTCATATTTAATTACCAGAAGGTGGTTGTGTTTGTAGAATTGGCAATCTATCATCAACAATGAAAAAAAAGCTATAAAATGAAGCAAAAAAAAAAAAAAATCCTATTTTTTGAGATGGGTGATTGTTAACTTCGGATATTGGTCTTAGGACTCGAGTTCACATGCTTCTAGGACATGGGTGGTAAAACCTCAGTATTCTTGTTTGCTTACATAGTGTTTGATTCTAATTTCATAAGACTTAAATGCCTAGCCCCGTTTGTGGGTAATTTGTTTACTTCACAAAATTCATGTGCTTGAATATAAATTAGTTGTTCATATGGTATCTGGTTAATTATTTTTTATCAGGTTGGACAAAATCGTGGCTGAACTCTCCATCACTAAGCGGGTTTGACGGATTTTTTCTTTGTAACAACGAAATGGGAAAGCATTTCTGGAACAAACACGATGATGATGAATTTGAGGATTATCATCCAAGCTGCATGTGGGGAATAATTCATGCTCTTGACTACCACCACTGGCACTCCAATGTTAAAAGGTTGCTTCCCCATAAAAAGAGAGTAGGGAGAAGACCTGTTAGTGGTAAGCAGTCACTATGGACTCTCTGTTTTCTTGGTCTCCACTTTTTTCATGCTGTTGGCACTTTTGGTAAAACTGGTGTCTAGTTTGCATCTCCAGTTGCGTTTTTTGCAACCACCTAACCCAGCATATGCTATTTAGCAAGTATAAACTAGATTGAATGGTAAGTTATAAATTTCTCTGTTATGAAACATCTAAGGATGTGATTCAAGCCGCTTGTTCATTTCCGTTACTGTAGCTAGTTTTAGTTGGATAACTTGACCTTATCAGTAACACCAATGACAGAGTATTTTGCAGGCTTGATTGTTGATGCCTCATCGTAATTGCTTTAAATTTTATTTCAAAATATGCTTCCCATTAGCCTATTAACTCTGACATTCAGGACACAGAGTATTCAAAAGAGAATTCATAGCAGTCATGCTGAGGCTGTAAAGTTGAAAGACAAGAAAATGCACATCAGTCATTGGCAGCAGTGAAAAAATTAGGAAAAATTATCCCAAAAAGGATCATATGAAATAGCTATTACATAGAGAGAGCCAGAGAACTTACAGGGTCGTCTCATATTTCCCCTAAGATCTCCTTCGAGATTTAATATCACATTCTACAGAACCTTTTTGATCTTTTCTGCTATTGCAGAGAAAATTAAACTGTTTATTATGGATATTTTTAGAGCAACAATGTGATTTTACTGGCATCAAACGACTCAAGTAATTGGGTAGTTATTATTATTTATGTGTGTTAAATTTAGCCTAAGGAGATTTGTAGATGGAAAAGCTTCTTCATCCCATTCCATTATACATGATTATGTGCATTTAGTTCGTCTTTTTCAATGATTTTAGTGAGCTTTTGTTTCACTTTCTTAACAGGCAATAAAAATTCCAAAATAAGATTGAACGATGATTCTTGTGAAGTACAAAAACTTTTGGATGATGAAGCAAGTCAGTTCTTTGTAAGTTCATCTAAAATGTTTCTGTTCGAATTGAAAATGCTATTTCTGAACACTCAGAAATTGAATTGCAATTTGAATGTGAAATCTATCAGGTCTATCAGAGTCCTACAAAATTGAGCTTAACCAAAAGGTTTCTCAAAGCTCGAATTAAAGCATTAATTGCAGAAGAGATCTCTAAGGAAGAGGGTCATAAAAGACAGGGTCCTTCACAACCACAGTTGCAACGAACTTGCTCAATCCATCACCTAGAACCTTCAGACCTTGGTCTTGATGAAATATGCAGTAACTTGAAACATCCAGTTATTTTCCTTGAGAATAGTGCTGACAATGGAGCTCCCAAGCCATTTGCCTGCAGCAAACAATTTGATGTGTGCAGTACTAAGGATACCGTGAACATGGAGCCTTATTGGCTTGCTGACAACCACAAATTTTCTCCAGAGAAGGACAAGAAAGCAAAGGAAATCCCAGAAAACCAGAAGCTCAAGAAAACTATGAAGCTCGGTTCGCATCACCAGCGTAAAATGTATGCGGATGTTCTGGAAATTTATATGGTGAACAAGGATTTATTCTTAAAAAGTTTACAAGACAGAGATGATGGAGATTGTTCCCAGAGTTTGCAGTCTTCCTATAGGAGAGCAAGATTAAACAGATCAGGGTCATTTCCGATGGCTGATTTGGCAAACCGCAGAAACCTTAGGCCTAGTAAACTTAAACACAAGCAGAATGAAATTTGGTCTTTATCAAAAGGAGAGAAGTCCCTTGCTGGTACTCAAGTGCCAAAGTTTGCTTCATCCAAGTTTTCAGAAATATTTAGGACAAATTCAGGGCTTCTGACGGCTGATGGTAGTGGAGGCAACCTGCTAAATCAGGAAAAATGCTCTGTATCTTTGGATTCAACGCAGGAATTGGATAAACAAGGAAATAATGAATTGATCATTCATTTACGAGATACCAAGCAGAGAGCACTTCCAGTCGATGGGGGAAAAACCGAGAGCGGCTGTGCCTCCCTGAATCCACCTCTCGGAAGAATTCCTAATGGATACAGCCCTTCTAATGGTGACAAAGAAATGGCTGAAAGATGTGAGTATAGTTCAAGTTCTCTTGAAACTGATGGTTCCATCTATGATCTTAGGAAGAGCATGCTCACTCACAGAAGAACATCATCTCTAAATGAATCACTGGATAAATATTCACGGTTGTTTGAGTACACTTTCAGCAGGGAGCCCAATCGGCATCACTCTAGAAGCTTAAGTTTGATGAATGAGTATGAGATTCCATCAGGTGGACATGCTCCAATGTCCTTCACAAGGATTCGCTCTCTGTCTCAAGTGGAGTCTTATTACTGTTTTCATCAGAATGAGGTATCTCATGATGGTCATGTCTCAGAAATGCCAATTAGCACAGTTTTGGATATCAGTGAAATAGCTGAAAGTGAGAGTCAGGATGAACCAAGGCTAGCAAGTCTTCCTACAAGTACCAAGATGTATGAAACACCAAATCCTAATGAACAGACAGAATCCTTAAATTATAAATTAGAGAGGAATGATAGTTCAAGAATGGAATACTTAGCCAGCTCAAAAGTGGGAATAGCGGAAGAGGGTACTCCTACTATAGATGGCTTTACTGAGGAAGTGGATGAGCTAGCTGTTGAAGAAAGAGATTCTCACAAAGAAGGGGACATGACTTTCACAGAGATGGGTAATGATGAGCTTCGCCCTACAGATATTTCAGTCTCAGAAGGTAACCAATAACAATCACCCTAATCCAATGCACTTGATGCATATATCATGTCATGCTTGCAAATGGTGGCTTAATATTAAATAATAAGATGAGATGGTAAAGCTAAATTTTTCTCTAGCCCCCAATGTTGGTGAGATACTGGTTGGTTTTGGAACGCGAAACTAGGGCAATTGTATAATACTGGTCTAGAAAGTTCCTCTTTCCATTGCTAATTGGGGTTAAAACTCTAGATATGAAGATTGTCAAGTTAGGAATAAGATTTGATAGTAAAATATGAAAAAATATTTAAGAAAAAGCATAGAGATACTCCCATGAATGTGGAAAATACAGTCAAATGCATTCGTTTATAAAACCAAAAGCTAACAGAAACTGTTGTAATTTTGCTTTTTGATGCCAATTTCAAATAGCAAAAATGTTGGAAACTACTTTTTAGTAATGTTGAAGTTGCAATTAATGATTTCTTTTGCATGATTTTAGGTTTAGACTTTGGCTGCAATTTTTTGGAAGAGAAGGAATTGCCTCTTAACTCAAAAAAGAAGTCCGGCACAGATTTTCTGTCACGGTCTGATACCATTGTAAACCTTGATGAGAGTTTCGAACATGCAAAGAAGATTTCTATGAATTACAGGCATATTGAGCTACATTCGAAAGAAGATGCTCACCTGATGTACGTGAGACATGTTCTTGAGCGATCAGGCATCATTGGAAATGGTTTGCTTGGAACATGGAACTCCTCTGACCAGGCATTAGACCCTTCAGTGTTTGAGGAAGTAGAAGCTTGTTGGTCCATTGAACCAGAATGCTCTGGAGAGGACATGTGTTCCAGTTGTTATCGCAATAACATATTCGATTTAGTGAATGAGGTGTTACTACAGGTATTTGACAGATCATTTACATACTACCCAAAGTCCTTGTCCTCCACTTGCCGTGTTCATTCAATGCCCATGGGCCACCATATCCTTGAGGAGGTCTGGGCAAGCATTGGCAAGTCTCTAACCTTGAAACCAGAGTTAGACCAGACTATGGATTGTATTGTGGCTCGAAATTTGGCAAAAGATGATGGCTGGATGAACCTTCAGTTGGAATCTGAATGGGTGGCACTTGAGCTGGAGGATATAATTTTTGACGAACTGCTGGAAGAAATTATATCTTCATGATATATATCATTGAGGCAAGATCAAGTTGCATCTTCATCATCCTCTTCTTCTAATATCCAGGCCGGTGTTGTACATACAAATTTTGGATCAGCTTCATTCTTTGTAATTAATGTATTTTCCTTAGGTGGCTTTTTGACAATCATTTGAGAGCAATAAGTGAATGAAGAAAAAAATATATAGGAAATGTGCTTCTTTTATAGTTGTGTAAGTGTGAGATAGCTGCCTGCCAGAGTCAGGGAATGGGAGTTCTTTCCAACAGAAACTATATAATGTATCAAATTAAAGTGGTTAGTTTTTGCCTTCGAATATCTTTCTGTTGGACATTTGTCTTAAAACACGTTTGGTGACATATGTTTCCTTGGTGCATGTTCTTCCATGAGATTTGTATACATTGATTTGTTGTATTCAGTGATATTTCAAGGTGAAACACCTCTCTTTTCCTGGAAATTATGAGTGGTAACTGAAAACAAAAGAGCAATGGTGGTAGTGACTGGGGGTAACAATTGGTGGAGGTGGCTGTGGCAGCATGTCTGCGGACTGTTTGGAGGTAGTTATGTTGAGTAGACATTGCTAAATTCTTACTACCAATGGAGAGTTTCCAATGAACACACTGTATTCACTATTCAGATCAAAATGTCTTCCAATCTACAACTCAACCTAACGGGACATAATTCGGTGGACCTATCAATAGAGGACGCGTGGACTAAGACTAGACCCACCTCTTATACGTCATCCCCCGAGCAGGTATAGACTGAGAAACATACTTATAGCTATTGACTTGTGGAATGCTCGAGAGAGGATGTACACCCGAGCCCAAACACCTCAACAGTTCCACCTCCACTGACGGCCCCCATAGAGGTTATTCAGAGTGATTGATATGGCAGGAGACTGGGAATACTGGCTACGTCGTCACCCCATGCAGGGACAAGCACAGAATCCCGTGAATATCAACAGAGATGCATGATCCTCACACACATAGACTAATCGGGTGATACTTCAAGAGAGATGCATGACCCTCGCACACCTCGACTCTCATCAGACAATCCCTACACCTAGTAAATGAACAACGATGTCACCCTAAGACGAGATGGAGACAACTTCTGCTGAAGCAACCACTGACATGACTATCTCGCTATGCATGTGAACTAATGAGAGAATTTCACTCTAAAAAGGTCATCAGACCCGTCTGTGAACATGATTTAGAAGAATCTATGTCAGCCTCCCCCAAGGGGGTTTAAATAGAACAAAAGTTGTGCTAACCAATTTAACGTAGTAGCACTTGTTTTGGTGTTGCAGAAAAAGGGGAGTGATCCATCCAGGAATTGCTTCCTTACTGATTGTCGAAAAACATCTCGTGCAATACCCCAAGTGAAATTTGATGAAAAAGTATTGAAAGGGGCCTCATGGTAATTTTGATTATCATGGATTTGTTAATGTTACATGGCTCATGAAGAGGAATGCACTTGGGGGAACGCAAAACTCCTCTGTTTTAGCAACTGTGCATTTAGATAGTAGTCTTTATTCCTAAGCTTTCAATTGGAAGTCAACAGACGAGAATCAATCAATATATTCAGCAACTTCGGTGAGTTTTTATGAATAAGTCTTTAACACAAACTTTTATTGGTGCTTTTTTTTTTTTTTGTCCTATTTGAATAGAAATGGTGAGTTTTATTCAATGTTTGAATATAAGAAAAAAAAAAAGTGACATCATAATACACCTGCTAGACAATCATACTATCTATGAAATCGGCATGATTGACTAAGTTGGTTGCTACCCGGTTTCTTTGTCGCCGAACAATTGCCACCTCATAAACTCTAAATTTTTTAAGTTTATTAATAATTCCGGCACTCTAGGTAGGAAAGTTAACCAAGACGAACTATACGGGCGCAGTTTAGATAAAACTTGACTCGTGTTTTAAATGAATTGAGCTTAAATAATTATTTAGACTCATTTTTTGTAAACGAGCCTTAAAAACTCTGTTTAAGGTCGCAAAATTTGACTTATTTATATATAAAATAATTGAGTTATTCAAATTCGATTTGAGTTTTAAACAAATCGAACTTGAATAATTTTTTATGTTCTTTTAAAAAAAATAAACTTGTCAGACTCGAATTCAAATTCATAAAGTTCGATTCAATTAAGTGTTCTTCAAAACATCGGTAGCGTCTCTTTCAAGAATTATTCCATCAACTCCTTGTTGCTGTTCAAAAAAAATTGCTTCAAAACCCCAGCAGTTTGGTTTGATATTGTTGCAACCATTTTTCTTGAGAGCCAGCCACAAAGCCTCCCATCTCGTTCCTGATGACCATTCCCACGCCGAAAGTTTGGCTGATGTACACAGTCAGTACGCCAAAATTGACTTTAAAAACTCCTGCTTTGGGAGGAGTCCAGCAGATTGTGCTGGGTGGACAGGTGGATGGGAATTCATCTGATGCATTAGTCTTTAAATAGTAGCTAATTAAAATAGAGCGTATTATTAGAATAATTTTTTAAAATAAAAAATATAATATTTTAATATATTTTGAATAATTATTCTGAAGAGTACTCTTCCAGACCTTCTAACACTGAAAAAAACCCAATAATTTTTGTTTTAGTTTTTTTAATTTTTATTTGCCCACACGCCCGATGAATATTTAAGTTCGAAATGCCAAGTATGCGTACACGATCTTGCACAATATAAAAACAAAAACAGATCTCTTTCGTGGTAAATACGAGTCCGTCAATCGAGTGGTCAATCTTACTACTTGGAACAGGTCGTAAGGGCCAGAGATGGCCTGAGAAATGATAATGAATAGTTCCTGTGGGTCACCAGATTGGTCCTGTGAGGCTAAGAGAGGTTCCTGGAACAGAGAAAGACAGATTAGAAAGGCGTCGAAGTGTTTTTCGGTGTATTCCCTCTGAAGATCAAGTCAGTTCTTTGAAAGAGCAGAAGAATAAAACATTGTATGATGCTTGAGAAAGGGTTTTTTACGTACCTCATTAATGTGTTTGTGAGGACTATTTATACCTTACAAAACTCATCACTGCTGACAGCGTAGCTAGTAGGTAATCATTCGAGGTGGACAGTGTGCACATTAATTTCTATGAGAAATGTCCTCATTCATAACTGTTCGGGACCCCGAACAACTAATGTTTTTCCCTCGGCCTACCGAGCGTTTAATGACCTTTTCTCGATAGGGAGGTATTAAATGCCCAGGCATAAGAACATTCATTACCTTTCGTTTCTAGGCTCTTATGCATTAAACATTGTCTCATCAAGGGAATGATGCATTAAATGTCTGTTATCTCAAGTCGTGTGTAAGCGAGGGCATTCTGGTCTTTTTGTCTCTGATCTGACACAATATGCCACGTGCTCATCCCCCTTTGGTTGAGCCTTCTACTTTCTTGTACCTCCTGACACCATTTGAGTAAGATGAGGTCATGATGGCTAGTCTAGCCTAGCCTAGGCTAGTAATCTGTCCATCAATAGCCCCTATAAAAGCAGAAACGCCTATGTGAACAGATACACCTCGGTGCCGAGGGACTAGAATGACTAGGACCGATATACCCAAACTGTCAAGGAATACGTGTCGGTCCAGGGCGTGTTGGGATCCTTGGTCCCTGTGAATAGTATCCTCGGGGCAGGGGGTCATAAACCGACGAAGACATATCGAGATCACATCGGAGAGTCTCCATTGACGCCGAGTACACGTGTTGTCATCTGCGAGTGTCTGAAAAATGTCCCATCAACTGTTCCCTAGCCTTCGATCTTCTAACGCCGAGGACATGCATCGTAAGAAGACGAAAGGTGTTGCAAGTGCCCCAACCACTCCATCATTGCTTCTAGTCATTTTTTGTTGCTTAGGGGGTCGTGCGCATTAAATGTGCCTCTCCATACTTTGTGTCCAATGATGGGGACAAGTGCTATATAAACGGGTTTTCTCTCTCTTTTCCACACTTTTAACATGTTTAAACTCAAAAAGCTTTCACCAAAAAACTTTGCTGGAGACCCTCTTGTCACATCGTCTTCCAGTCAGTCATCACCGGAGTTTAGACCAGCAAACCCCCTCTTGCTTTGAACCTTCCTCGAGAAAGGAACCACTCCAAGTTCTTTAGAAATCTTTGTTTACATTCTGGTGAGTCTTTGCATCCCCCTTCTTTCCATCCTTCTTCTGGGTTTTGCTTTTCATTCTCTGGTAATCGAATGTGTTTCTGATTGTCATTGTTTGACCAACCCTCATAAAACCTCTCGAGGTTCCTTGTAGAAAAACTCTTTTTTCTTCCCCTTTTCTTTTTATTTTAATTGGAGATGCCCCGACGCCGCCCTGTTATCGAGGACCCATAGGCTAGTTCCTCGAGGCTAGGGAAGTACAAAGTGAAGGGAGACCAGCAGATTAATAGGTTTAGGGCCCGATATCACATCCCCCAAAACGTAGCTATAGAAGAGTACGATCCAGTTTTGCATAACTGTAATCTCGGGCCTGAGGATGAGATGCCCTTTTACACCAAAGTAGTCATAGAAGGTGGAATTAGGTTCCCTCTGTCTCCTTTACTCCTCTAGTTCTTTTTCCATTTCAACCTCTTCCCCGGGCAGTGTTGCCTTAATGTCTCTAGGATAATAATGGGGGTCTTAGAACATAATAACCGCCTCGAGGTAAACGTTGGGATCATGCCCCAGTAGAACTTTTACCTCAAGGCTAGGGATCCATCCATGTACCTCGTAAGTCACCTCCCTAATTCGAATAAAGGGTATAAGGACGATCTTTTGATCTTCAGCGGATCTTGGGAGAAGGGAACCGGTCCCGAGTACGATGGTCTGAGGTGCCCTCTTAAATGGAGAACGACAAGTATGTCAACTTCTTCGAGTCCAATTTTTACTGTCCTTGGGATATTTTGCAAGTGTTAATAACCTTCTTTCTTGTGCAAACGTCTCTGCCCGTGAAGTCGCTCCTCCTCCTCGGTCTTTGGTGAACTTTGCTGACCTCATCACTGTTTGGAAGTTTGTCGACGATGACTGGTTTGGCTGGGCCGCTCATCTTCTTCTGGACTACACAACAGGGTATAAGAAGTTTTCACAACTCCCCCAACCTTTCAACCCTTCGCAGTGGTCTGAAATCTTTGATTAGACAGCGCAACAAAAGGCCGAGCAGAACTTGGAGGAAGACCCTGACAGGGCTACTGAGGCGGAAGTAGAGGGTGCCTTTGAAGTTGAGGAGTTCGGGGCCAGAGAGGTTTTTGTTCCTTCGCACGCCGGGGTGGGGACCTCAGGGAGAGATTCATGGCCCGACTTCAACATCCTCCTATCCTTAGAC